CTTTCCACAATCAACGAAGTGTTCTAGACTCAATACTAAGTATTAGGAAAAGCTTAAAGTCACATTGCACCCTTCATAAGGGTTTTCGGTCTAAGGAGATGCACTAAACCGAAAACACCTTTTGTTCTTGGATAAATGAGGATTTCAAGGCCCTAAATCAAGAGTTTCAACTAGATAACAAGTATAGGGAAGTAATACTTACGATTTAGAGGCTAATAGAGTTGATTTTGGACCAAAACACTAGTGTTCTTGGTGTTCTTGAAGATCTAACCCGAAAAAGATGATTTCATGGATGAAATCAAAGGGTTGTACTACATAAAGCTTTGTAACAACAAATCAAATGGAAAGAATTCTTACAATTTTGAAGATCAAAGTGAAGAACTCGATGATACTTGAGAGAGAATGGATGTTTCTAGCTTTGAAAAGGAAAGAATGATCCAAATGATCATGAAATATATATGTAGGATGGGGTTTTCGGTCACCTTGACCGAAAACTCTAAGGTCTTGACCGAAAACTCCTTTTTGAGGAGGTTTTCGGTTTACTTCATGACTAGAACTTCAACCAATTCATCCTAACACTGATTCCTTTGTTGTACTAAGTTTAGAATACTCGAATAGACTCCAAATAGGGCTAAAAGTTAACAAACAAGGCTAACTCTAATAAATTTGAATGTTTATACAAACTAGAAATTTCGGATTGTCACATTATGAAATAGGCAGGAGGTTGAATCAAACGTCTTTTGTTCTTATGTGCTTAGTATTTATCAGTTATTACGTGTTTATCAAATACATAACTCAAAACTTCATGTGGATTTTTATAGCATGTTCCCGAAGTCAATAGAGAAATACCTATCTTTAGATGAAACATGTTTAGATCTTCAAAGGCTACTCGACAGGTATTGGTTTCCTTTTTATAATTTTTTAGTAACAACTGCAAAATGAATAAGTGAGTATGGGCATAAATACAGTTTAAACTCTAGGAACAGAAAAAATGAAAGAAGTTGTTTGGGTTTTTTTCTTCCAATTATTAGCCTTAAAGGTGGCCAAGTGTTTAATATGTAGTTTTAATGAAAAAATAGTTCCTTGAATGTTCTTACAAACTATCACTCATCGGTTAGAAAAAAATTAATTTTCTAAATACTTATATGATTGTTTCTCTAACGGAGATTATGTGGTAACACAGGTTATAAGAATTGTTTCTCTTCCTTGATTTATTTCCAATATTTTTATTTATTTCCAATATAACGTTTAACTGCATTTTTTACTTTTTACTATATTCATACTTTATGTATGTAACAATGGTTAAAGAATTGTAGTACTTACTTTTTGTTATATTTTATTTCTAGGAAATCGGCTGAAGATGGAATCGTTGTAAAGATGTTTAGGATTCATACTTGGGTAAAAATTACATCCACATCTCTTCCCCTTTCTCGATATAAAAAAGAGCATTTTCAATTAATTGACTTGAAATTTGATTTGTGTTGATAATCCACCAACCTATAAGTTGGCAAATGTGTCTACTATGTCATGACTTTTGTAGTGTTTTGAAGGAAAACTTTTTTCATTTGGTTATAAGCTGTAGATCTGAAGTTACCCAAATTCCCTATTTTTAAATGATAGTATTATATCATATGTTCTTGCAATGGTAAAGCATAAAAAGGTAATAAAAAAACCTAGAATTCGACCCGAGGACATGTCAATTTGTATGTTCTGTGTAATTTTTTTTCTTGAACCTTTTCTGAATTTTTTTATATTTTTAATGGACATTTCCTGCAACTTTATGGTAGTATAGGGACAATTGCTTTACTTACATTATCACTATTTCTTTGACAGTGACCATTTTTGTAATATCATTTACAATTTATAGCATTCTACTTTATTTATTTTGAAAGATACTGCACTTTTAACCTAACTTGTAAGCAACAAAATACAAATGATGATTGTGCCCTTCCTTTTGTAAATGTTTCTATCATAAAACATAATGTTATTTCAATAACCCAACTGACCAAGAAATGAGCTAACTTATCCATTATAGGCATCCTCCTTTGTTTTTATGTCACTTTTTCTTAAATTATAGTATTTGTCATATTAGAGCATCCTACTTTCCATTATAATTAATTTGATTATCTATTTAATTTTTTTAACCTACAACATTATGTATGCCCAAGATATATTCATATTACACATAAATGTTTTTTTTTGTCATATTAGGCAAATAATTCTTAAATTTAAGAGGTACAGTTATATTAAATTAAATTAAAGTAATAAATATATAGTCATTTAACAACACGTTTAGATTTCTAAAAACTAACTCCCAACCCAATTCGAAAGTAATCGCAAAAAAGTCTATGATTTACTATTTTAAAAAATTAGAAACTGTCAATATAAAACAATCATGATCATATGTCTGAGATGAGAAATTATAAACAAGTTTTTATCAATATTTTATAATATATAAATAAATGTCTTTACCCATTAATACCATTTAACAAGAATATACTTTTATTTTTAACTAAAAAAACAACATAAAATTATTTTTAATCCACAATATTTTATTTTTATCCGACTACATCAATGTATTTTAATTATTTAACCAAATTCAGTAACATTTGCTTTTTAACAAAAAATAACATTTGATTTTTAACCAACTAACCAAAAACTACACAGTATTTTATCTTTAACTAATAACATCATCAATTTTAACCCACACAATAATGTAGCATTAATTATCGTTGTAGAAATTCATATTGTTGTTTTATTTTTATTTCAAATCGTTTATTTGTGTTATTGTAAATTGTCAAATTGTGTACTACACGATTTTTCACCTGGGTAATGTACTACCTAACATAGTCTTAAAATATTAAGAGGTATAAGTTCTAAAATTTAATGTATAATGGTAAAATGCATGAAACCAAACAATAACATAGATGACAATTTTCAAAGCTCATCCCACCTGTTATGAAATGGTTTCCATGAATATCTACCCCATTTGCTTCAAATTTATGCCTAAATGAGTAATTTTATTATTTCAGATTACAAATTTCAACCTATGAAACGGTTTTCATGGGTTGCTTCAGGTTCTTTATTCCACCTACAAAATACATATAGCTTGAATGCATATATAACTGGTGATAACATTTGGAGTCTTCTTTTTATAACGATACATTTTTTGTATTGGTTTGGATTGTGTTCTCTAACTTTCAATACTTTCATCAAAACTATTAAAAAATCATGTTTTTTGTTGATTAATTTAACAGGCTGTAAGTGGCAATTTATACAAAGTAAAGACCAAACTGAGGGTTGTAGATTTCCAATTTTGATAGGTTGCCATATCAAGAACGTTGTACTATTTGATCATTTTGGATAGTATTTCTATATTCAAGAATGAGATTTGATATCTTTTCACTAGATTCAATTATTTAAGTGGAAATGAATAAATTAACCATTTCACTTAAACATTTTTTTAGGAGTTTATAGAATGTAGCTCTTAAAAGAAGATTTTTGAATATGTGATTCAAGATTATGTGAATTTTGAATATTGGATTTGAGAAAACAAGGCTTGGATCTCTAACTCCACCAAAAAGGTGTAAATAAATTCGGGAAAAGTTTGATGAATGACTTCAAAATTCTTTCCTCAATTTTTTATTATCGTCGTTATTTTTTTCTGTAATTCTGAATGTAATATTTCTTAAAAGCACGATATACCAACTAATTTCATACTTTATAAATTTTGGAATTTCAACATTTTATTTTGTAAAATGTTTTATTTTTGGAATTCCGAAGGTAGACCAGAAAATAAAATAAAAATATTTTTTATATCATTCTACTTTCTGAAAACTGTTATTTGTAGCATTCTACATTGTAAAATAATCTCTTTTGAGGATTTCGAACATAGAATGGAAATTTTACCCGTGGTTTCCACAAGTTTTAACCTAGTAATAATGATATATATATATATATATATATATATATATATATATATATATATATATATATATATGCACACAAATAGGTGTGTATCTATATTTTTTTTATAAAATCGTGTTTGTATACATTTCTTTTATAAAAACATGTTTGAATAATTTTTTATATAATACGTGTTTGTATGCATTTTATATATAAACTTGTTTCAATACCAACCCAATTATAAAATAGATGTTTATAAATATACATATAAATATATATATATATATATATATATATATATATATATATATATATATATATATATATGTGTGTGTGTGTGTGTACAAAAAAAAATATATACAAACACTTATTTAGGTGCATATAAATATGTTTTTACGAAAAAAAATTATACATTTTACTATGAAATAGGTGTTTTTTATAAATATGTGTTTGCGTACAAATGTATTTATAATAAAATAGGTGTTTGTATATATATATATATATATATATATATATATATATATATATATATTTAAAAACGAATTTGTATATATTTATGTACTTAATAAATACCTATTTTTATAAATAGGTATTACGTATACAAAAAAGTTTTTTTTTAAGTTTTTATATAGAAAATATAAGATTTTTATATGAAAATATGTTTTTTTTTGTATAAATATGATTTTATAAAGAAAAAAACATATTCGAAACAAAATTTTGAGAAAAAAAGTTGTAAAAACAACTAAAGTTAAGATGAATTCATAACAAAATTCTAAAACTTAGGCTAAAAGGGTAATTTTGGACTAAATTTGTAATAAAATTTAAAATCTGTGCCAAAAGTGTAAATTTTGGATCAAATTTGTAATAAATTTTAAAAATTAGGCAAAAAATGTAATTTTTGAAAGTTGGATGACCTGTTGACCGGGTAAAAATGTTATATTGAATACGTTTACCGGTTTTTGGGTTTAATTAAATAAAAAAAATATAAAAACTAAATCATGATACAAATATATATTTATTATAGTTTTTTCTTATAAAAATAATAAATAATAATAATAATAATACCGAGCCATTTGGTTTTGGTACGTGGTAATGAACCGAATAGGGTTTCTAACGTACAAATTGGATACGGAAAACTCCAATCGGATTCCCTTGGAAGCAACCTACCTCCATAGTACATACCGCTCTCTCTTTCTGCAATATTCTACGCACATTTACCACGAAGTGGTGTGACACCGAAGAAATCTCCTCATACAACTGATTCATCTACGAAGGAAACGGTAATCCAGATTCAGGAAGCAACAATGATGCCAGCGCCATCAAGTTCATCAACCAAGAAAAGGCGAAAGAGAGGCGGAGGACAACAACAACAACAACAGCAACAGCAGCAGCAGCAAAACCCTGTGATTGCGGAGTCCACTCGTATTCATATTCGACGGACACTTGAACAGTTTCGGGCATCCAATGATGAAGGTAAGAGAAAAATCTCCACAAGAAATGGAACAGGATGTAAATGTTTCATGTTCTGTTTACACACATGAAATGCGATATCTCATGAGACTTGCTATTTGGGAAATATCTGTAGCATTTCTATAATTGAGGCCCTGATTGAACAAAAATTGAATGGTTTAGTCATCTGTACATCTTTCAAGACTCTTTGTTTATTCGTCTGAATTAATGTTCTGTTAACTTTTAACTATTCGATGCTCATTCTGCTCATGAAACTATGTATGTTCATACATTTAAATTCATAGTGCTATTTAATGAGGAATGAAATTCATGTAGCTTCCATATTTAATGGTTTCAGCTTACACATTTGAAGCCAACCTTACAAACTTTGAACGTGCTGAGGTACACAAGTTATGCAGAAAAATGGGTATGAAGTCGGCAAGTTCTGGGTGAGTATTGCTTATTACACATATTAAAACAATACAAAAACCTGCTCTTAGGTTTATTGCATATTTTCAAATTCATAGTCATTTCCTGAGAATTTGACTAACCTGGACTTTTGTAGGCCTAAATCAGGGAATAACAGGCGTGTTTCAGTTTACAAGTTCAAGGGGAAGCCAAAGAATGTCAAAACCAAGAACGATCTCACCTCTTTTACATTTTCAGAAGAGGGAAAAGTAGTTTTGAGGGACTTTTTTTCTCTTTATCCACCTGGTGATCAAGGGGAGGGTGAAAAGATCATGTCCACATCTAAGAAAAATACTGATAACATACGAACAAAGACAGATGATATTCTTTGCAAACCTTCAATGAAAAAGGCTGAAATTGCTGAAAAGTTTAATTCAGTTGTTGCCAGAATGGAATCAGACCTCAAATTGAAACAGGTTTTTCATCGACACTTTCAGGTTTCCGTAATAAAGAAACTGTATACTTCCTTTTCCTCATCATGATTTGTGTAATATATTCTTGCTTTGTAGATTACTGAAGATAGGTACAAACTTCCAATTGCATCCTTTAAGGATGTTATTACTTCAACAATAGAATCTCATCAGATTGTTCTCATATCTGGTGAAACTGGGTGTGGAAAGACAACACAGGTGCCTCAGTATTTGTTGGATTATATGTGGGGTAAGGGTAGTGCATGTAAAATAGTCTGCACCCAACCACGGCGGATCTCTGCGATATCTGGTACCCATTGCTCAAGTTCTAGTCTTTATAACTTTATAACACAACTAGCAAATTATGTTTCTGTCTTTCCTAGGTTTATATGATTGTTTATTTCCTGCTATGTTTTTTGTAGTTGCTGAAAGAATATCTCATGAAAGAGGTGAATCTATTGGAGAGAGTGTTGGATACAAGGTACAGTGTAGAGTTGGTAACTTCATTGGTTGTTGGTTTTATTATCTTTTCTTCTTTTATTATTCACGATTTACCTCTTATGGTGAAAACCCTAGATAAGATTAGAGAACAAAGGTGGAAGACATTCATCTATTGTGTTTTGCACAAATGGTGTCTTATTGAGGGTCTTAGTAAAAGCTGGCAATGGAAGATCTGGAAGAGAAGCTTCAGCAAAGATGGTCAAGGATACATTTCCTGACATCACTCACATCATTGTGGTATAAATCTATTTTAAATGTGATGTGTTAGAATTACATTCTGTTTTTATTGAAAGATATGTTCATTTAGCATCTAAAGACTTCAATTTTTGTTGTTTTGGAAAGAATTTGTATTTGGAATCTAGGGATTGCATTATCAATCACTATATTTGATGGGGGTTACAAATTTTTGCAGGATGAAATTCATGAGAGGGACAGATTTTCTGATTTTATGCTAACAATCATCAGGTACCTTTTAGGCTTTTACTTTCACATATAAGTATGTTGCTATTATGGATAAAAAAATAAAATACATTGCCAATATTGGTATTCGGGTATATGTTCTAATTTAGGGTTTTCTTCACAGAGATATGCTTCCATTATATCCTCATCTACGTGTGGTGAGTATGATTTAGTTATTCTTTTCATATCCTTCACTTTTCTGTATATAATTATGCACTTTTTGGTTTACCACAAAAAGATTAATCCTAATCATATTTTGAAAGGTATTGATGAGTGCTACACTTGATGCTGAACGATTTTCTCAGTACTTTGGAGGCTGCCCAATCATACGTGTCCCTGGCTTCACTTACAATGTAAATTCCCATTTTAACCCTGAATCTTTTTATCCGGTTTATGTCATCACATTTCTATGGTGACCTTTTTTACATGTATAATATATCAGGTGAAGAGGCTCTATTTAGAAGATGTACTTTTGCTTGTGAAGTCAAAAAAAGATTGTCACCTTGATTGCACTTCAAAAACAAATGTAGATGAAAACTCTCAATTAACTGAAGAATTCAAACTTGCCCTTGAAGAAGCAATTCACATAGCTTGGTCAACCGATGAGATTGACTCTCTTTTAGATATTGTTTCAAGTGGTGGAGAAAATTTTCTCAATTTTCAGCACTCTGTAACTGGGGTTACACCATTAATGGTGTTTGCTAGAAAAGGAAGAGTAGGTGACATGTGCATGCTTCTCTCTTTGGGTGCCAACTGTCATTTACAAGATAAAGAAGGAAAAACCGCACTTGCGTGGGCCCTACATGTAAACCAAAATGAAACTTCAGATATTTTAAGAAAACATGTAAACGCAACCTCAGTAGGTTCCAAAGATTCCAAAGAAGAACAGGTTTTACTCGATAGATACTTACAAGATGTGAACCCTGAATTAATCGATGTTATCCTTATAGAACAATTATTAAGAAAAATATGTACAGAATCACAAGAAGGAGCTGTTCTTGTTTTTCTACCAGGGTGGGATGATATAAATAAAGCACGTGACAGATTAACTTCTAGTGCTCTGTTTAAAGATTCTTCCAAGTTTTTGATATTGGCTCTTCATTCCATGGTTCCATCTATAGAACAAAAGAAGGTCTTCAAAAGGCCTCCACAGGGTTGCAGGAAAATCATTCTCTCAACCAATATAGCTGAGACAGCTGTCACGATTGATGATGTTGTTTTTGTGATAGATAGTGGAAGGATGAAAGAAAAAAGCTATGACCCGTATAATAAAGTTTCAACTCTTCAATCTTCTTGGATCTCACAAGCAAGTGCAAAGCAACGAGAGGGTCGGGCAGGAAGATGCCAGCCTGGAATATGTTATCATTTGTATTCAAAACTTCGGGCAGCTTCCCTGCCCGAATTCCAAGTGCCCGAGATTAAGAGAACACCAATTGAAGAACTTTGTTTACAGGTAAAGATTCTTGATCCGGGATGCAAAATAGAAGATTTCTTGAAAAAAACATTAGATCCACCTGTTTCAGAAGCTATCCATAATGCGATTACTGTTCTTCAAGATATTGGAGCTTTATCACCAAATGAAGAACTCACAGAACTCGGTGAAAAACTCGGGTCTATCCCTGTTCATCCGTTAACAAGCAAAATGCTTCTTTTTGCTATATCCATGGACTGCATTGACCCTGCGTTGACTTTAGCTTGTGCAAATGACTACAGAGACCCTTTCACTCTTCCAATGTTACCAAATGACAAAAGAAAAGCAGCAAATGCTAAATGTGAGTTAGCTTCATTATACGGTGGACATGGTGATCAATTAGCCACAATAGCTGCTTTTGAATGCTGGAAAAATGCCAAACAAAGGGGACAAGAATCGAGATTCTGTGCTCAGTATTTTGTGTCTGGAGGTGTTATGAATATGTTATTTGGAATGCGAAAGCAACTTCAAAATGAACTTTATAGAAACGGATTTATTCCTGAAAATTCTTCAAGGTTTAGTGCAAATGCTCAGGATATTGGTGTAATTCATGCGGTTCTTGTCGCAGGGTTGTACCCTATGGTGGGAAAATTACACCCACCGAAAAAAAATGCAAAAAGAATTGTTATTGAAAATGCAAACAATGATAAGGTGAGATTGCACCCTCAGTCGGTCAACTCTAAGTTGACTTTCAAGAAAAAAGATTATTGTCCTTTGGTGATATATGATGAGATAACACGTGGAGATGGGGGTTTGCATATTAAGAACTGTAGTATTGTTGGACCACTTCCTTTGTTATTGTTGGCAACTGAGATTGCTGTGGCCCCACTTGATGATGTCAGCGATGATGACGATGACGATGATGTCAGCTTTGAGGGTAGTGATGAAGAAGGTTATGACGGAGAAAAGGGAGATAGACTTATGTCTGACCCTGAGAATGTGGTCAAAGTTGTTGCGGACAGGTGGCTTTCGTTTGAGTCTACAGCTCTTGATGTTGCTCAGATATATTGCTTAAGAGAAAGGTTGTCTGCTGCAATCATGTTTAAGGTACATGTATTTAAAATTTTTAAAAAAAAAACCATTAAACAATCGTGAAACTTGATTACAATTTAATGACATTGTTTTTTTTTTTTTTAAAAAACATCAGATTACACATCCAGGAAAAGATCTTCCGGAACTTCTTGCAGCCTCCATACACGCAATAGCGAATGTACTTTCTTACGATGGCCTCGCTGGCATCAACGCGCCACTTGTATCCGTTGACTCGTTGACTTCAATGGTAAGAGAAACCGACATCGGGCAGCCGCCAGCTGGCGGAAATAAAGGCAAATTCAAGAATTCAAACAACTTTCTTGGATCGCTTTTATATAATAATGATTCACAGAGACAATGGTCAGGGAGGCCCAGACATCATGGTCATCATCATCCATCTACTTCTTATTCTACACAAAGAAATGAACATCAGATTCAGAATTCAAATTCACAGGGTGGCATGGGGAATGTTCATGAGGGAAACAGGAATGAATTGAATGGTTTGGGTTCGAGGGTTGACTCTTTGAAGCGCCATCGTGGAAGCAGAGCTTGATTTGATTGTATTTTGATGGTTGTATGATGTAATGTGAATTGGGTTTTGATTCAAATGGGGTTACCCTTTTATGTAAACAATGTTGTTTGACGTGGTAGCCATTTTGAATGTGTTGTTAGCTTGTTATTGTAGGGTGCGTGTGTTTCTTATACAGGATTGGACTAGAGTAGACAGGACTGGGCAAACTTTTAGGTCTCTATTTGGATACACGATCCCACTTTTTTGGGTGGGACAATCGTAATTTGTCTTATTGAATCAGTTCCGGTCTATAGGTCTAATCATTCGCAATGTATGTATGTATGCACTTACATGTATATGTATTGCACAAGTATGTATGTACATCGATATTCAAACTCATGTACACATGTGATATCATCATATATGAAATCTCACCTCCTTACCAGTAGGTTATGTTTACACATATGTATATGCAGGGATTCAGTGTATTAGAGCACCACATCGGGTGCTTTCAACTGCTGAAAGCCTTGCAATCATACCTGGACAGTGTTTGAAAGCCACGTCAGCTAAGTTCTTGCAACTGCTGAAAGCCTTGCAATCATACATAAGTGGGACCATCTTTTACTTTATGAATTATGATGTACAGTTTTTACGTGTATTATGCTATACCACACACATGCATTATAATATATAGTAATTATAATCTATTTTAGATTTAGATATATTTCAAAATTATAAAATAATAGTGTGGTAATTATAAAAGTTGATGCGCCACAGTTGAAAGATCAATAGTCTTGCGTTGAAGGTCTTACAAAGGGTGCATGGACCCCACTTGGAACATGGAAGTGGGCCACCCAATATTTTAGTAAAAAATCCCTATTTTGGGGAAGAGATAAGAGTACTATTGTTCAAAAGATAAGAGAAATGAAGCACTCATCGTATATATTACCACTATCTGTCAAAAAAAAAAAAAAAAAAAAAAAACAATAATGTAGTGGAATAAGTCAAATGTAATAGTAATTTGTCATATATAATAGTGGTGTCTCATATAATTATGTAATGCATAAAAAAAAGTTTCTAAGTCTAATATCGTGTAATATGACACATAGCATTAGTAATAATATATAACTATGTGTAATTGACTAACAATAGTTAGTCACATGTCGTCTTTATAAAATAATGTCTATATAAAGATCATTGATCCTTAAAAAAGAAACAAAGTGAAAATTTATGAAATGAGTTTAGAAGTTTTTAACTTCTAAATAGCAAATTATATACTGTATTTTAAAAATATCATCCAAGAATTCAACTCATACGATCAGATCATCTATCAACAATAACATTCAATAAATATACGATTAGGTGCTCTCTTGTCTATTATTATTATTTGAAATTTTATATTAAGATTTTTTGAATGTAGAGATAAAATCTAGTTTTTATTTGTGGGTGGGTATATATATATATATATATATATATATATTATATATATATATATATATATATATATATGATGGACACTGATTTTATTTTGATGATTATATATTTGTAAGATTTGTAGTTATTTATGTTTTATTGAGAATTTCACATTCAAAGTATGATATACTGTTACGTAGTCATCAAAACCTAAAATTTGTAGGTATTTTTGTATCATTACTTTCGTTGCAGAGAAAGATCCGATAAGATTGGTTTAAAATAGAAGTATACTATTGACTAACAAACCCAAAGCTCAACTATTTTTATATATAAAAAAACTATATAATAAATATTCTTGTTTAATCGAACAGTTATCTTTATTACATCTTAGATGGGAGTTAAAACATTTGAATTGGGAGACAACGGAAAACGTGAGGCATGCAATTTTTCACTGTTTATAGTTTTTCACCGTTATATTTACAAGCCAACTGTCCTGTTTATAATGAATATTAATCAATACAAAATACAAACTACCTAATTAACAAACATCTAACTAACCAATCACTTTAGTTAACCAACTACATCATAAGTTGGTATCTAAAATTTTGGAAAACTATTTAATATTCAATATGCTATTCTTTAATATTTAAAATTGTAATGTCATGCAATATATTCATTTTGATTTTTAAAAATATAACAGCCCATTTTCATCCTTTTTTCTTTAATACTTAATATTTTACTGTTATACAATAACTTTTGTTTTGAGTTTTAAAAAATATCTCAACCGATACTTTCCTTTCTTGACCACAGCAATAATCATTTAATATATGACCACAGTCCACAGCAATAATCATCTTGATTTTTTCTTTAGAAATTATAATGGATACAATGATTTTTCTTCATCAATGAAATTTTGTCTAATTCTAATGTTATGTTCAAGACAATCATTTTCTTCCATAAATTGTAAACATTTTTATCGGTTTCACAAATCCATTTCTCCACAATTTAATTCAATTTTCATATTTTGACCCACTCTATCTTCTTTTTTTTCCTCTTCACATATATTCTTTTATGAGTGTTTGAAGTACCCTGAGACCATAATGGGTCCCACCTTTGTTGATCTTCAACGTCCGGAAAGGCTGTGAAAGTATGTTAAGGCATGAAAGGTGGCAATTATTCGTCATGAAAATGGTATGGGAGTAGGTTAAAACGGGATTCATCCGTCATTAGAAAGATAGATTGTGAGAAATGGTCAATATATTACCATTTCGCAAACATAATACGCTGCAAAATGCCATAAGATGCATTCATAATGGTAATTTGTGCAAAATTAGTGGCTATCTGATGAACAGAAATTAGGGTTTGATGAAATAGAATCAAACAGACAAAGAAGATGATTAAATAGAACTAACTGATTAATCGAATTAACACAATCTAAAAAATTGCCCAGGGAATCTCCCTCTCTCTAAGCCGAAAGCTTAAGAGCCAATACAAAAGTATTACACTATCAATTTTCTAGACATGCCCCTGACCTTTCTCTCTATTTATTATAATCCTAGCGGACTCAGATGAATTTTCTGTTTTACCCTTTATTGGGCCTTCTAGACAAACCCTATAAGACTTTTGCTTTAATAGTATTTGGGTCCAGCAATACTCACTATTTTTGGCAAACCCTTGTTTTTTTTCCTAATTTTTTGAATAGTCTATAGGAGTATTAGAGTAATTTGTGTTTTTGTTGGTGTTTATTGTAATCGTTTTGATTTGAACCTTGGTATGGGAATAGGTTAAACAAGTAGAAATCCATGAACGTATACTAGTAGTAAGTATTATACATGAGTGACTTACGAGATACAAAACTGGGACAAAAATAGATCCAAATAATGGATTGGAATGGAAGTACTGAATTGGTTTTTCTCATATATGATATTATATTGATTTTAAGTTTTAACTACCTCCTAACCACCTCCTTCCCTCCTATAAAAAAACAGAAGCTTTGCTGCTTGTTCTGTATGGCAATGTTGGTTAAATCATAGCTCATCATGTGTAGATGTAGTAGATTCCCCATCTGTCTCTGTCTCTGTCTCTTCTTTTTTGGACTCACTGCTACTCTCATCATTCCCTTTTGTCTCCTCAGTTGGAGTTGGAGTCTCGGTTTCATTCTTCACGCTCACCTTCTCAACTTTCGGTTTTGGCTTCGGGATTCTATTCGTGCTCGCAACCTGGTAATAAATATTATCATAAATACTATATGAGTAAGCAAAACATCTTAATTCTTAGTGGAAGGAAGGAAATAAGCAAAAACATCATATCATATCATATCATATCATGCCTTGTCTTGAAGATCAAATAGCTTGCTCATAACTTCTTGAGATGTATAAGCGGGAGTCGCGGATGCTGATATCCTGTATTCATTTTAACCGATTACGGATATGCCATTGCCATTGCCATGTTAAACTTAAACAAATCAATCATAATCCTTGCATACAACCCGATCATAATTTTTTTCTTTTAAAAAAAAAGTAAATTAAAAGTATAGCCAAAACCCAAAATTCCATAAATTGGCTATACTTAGGGACCAAAAATACTCATTTTACTTGGAATGGGGACCAAAAACATTACTTGCAAGTGAACTTTTTAGGACCAAAATTGTAAAAATCAGCTATACTCAGGGACCAAAAAATGTAATTTACTCTAATGGCACACAGTATAATCAAATAGTAAATTACATTTTTTTGGTCCCAAAAAGTTTTTCCTTGCAAATTTGGTCCTTATTTGAGGTTCTTGTAACGTTTTTGATCCTCGTCCCAAGTAAAATGACTACTTTTAGTCCCTAAGTATAACTTATATTTTAGTCATTTTACCTGGAACAGGGACCAAAAACTTTAAAAATAAGGACCAAAGTTGCAAAAAAAAAAAACATTTTTGGGTCCCACCAAAGTTGAAAAAGTCAGCTATATACTTGAGGACCAAAAATGTAATTAATTTACTCCATACATAATTAATATGAAGAGCTCACTTTTTTTGCTCAGCCTCCTTATCGTTCAACCACTTCTTAAGATTTTCTGCCTCACGTAGTACCTGGAAATTAATAAAACATTAAACTTTATGTTTCATAAATAAAGCTGCATAGTTTAAACTTTAAAGATGAGAAAGAAAGCAATTGACCTGGTCAATTTTCTCTTTTGGAATCCATGGTTTTTTGGATTCCCACCCACTAACAATCTGCACAAATGAAAAAATTAATAAGTGACAGTCTGGCAGAGGATTCTTCAATTTATTATGTGAAATTTTTAATCAGAGGATATTATTATTTACCTCTTGAAGCTCAGTTAAATACTGTCTAGCACTTTTTGATGCTTCTGGCCTTGCTGTAAGCTCCTTGTATCTATACATACCACATGTTTATAAAAATTTAAGTTTTGTAATATCACAATCAAATTTTATTATTTTTTATTTATTGCATACCTGAAAAATATGGGGTCCCCGATATCCTTCAGTTGATCCAAACGTTCTTCAAATTGAGTAGCTGAAGCATCTTCACCATCCATGTACAACCAATCTTGCACCTAAAAAACACAAACAAAATTCATGTTAATGTCAATTGAATACTCATTTTGCATGTGTGTGTGTGTGTGTGTGTGAGAGAGAGAGAGAGAGAGAGAACCTCATCAAGTTTTTCAATGAATGACTGGCGTTGCTCGCTAGAAGAAACTGTTTGTAATTCATCCAAATAATCAAGCTGCCAAACACAATAAATAGAAATGAGAACTAAAAACTAAATAATAATAAAATGAAAAATTAACCTTTTCTCTGGTTGCATATATGTATGCTTCAAGATCATTTTTCGTCTCTGCAGTTCTCCTTCTTTCTGCATCCTTTGCATCAAGTGCAGTCAATCTTTTGATACCTTCTGCAAGAGCTTCATCTGACAAAGGTACCCCTGACCCCACAGTCTTCTCAGATATCTATACCCAAAATACCCATACATAATCAATGAAAACTACAAAAATAATATAAATCTTAATGGGATTTTATTAAGCTCAAACCTTTAGAGGAATTCTGAAAGTACGTTTCTTCAGTTTCTTTTCAGTGCCAAGATCAAGGGTATTTTGGTCATTTTCAGTGGCGTTAACCGAGTTGGTACTCGTATCATCACTAGCTTCTGTCTCTTTGGTGGAATCAGCTTCAACAGTTAAGTTGAGGGGAGCAGAAACATTCTTTTTTGGAACTTCTACCCACTCAGAAATTTCAATCACAGCATCGGCTCTATCCAATGAAAATATGCCACTTCTACTAAGAGAGAAATGGAGACTGGCTTTCACAGGGGATGAAAGGTTGCGTGACATGTACCTAAACAGTTAAAAAAAAAAAGTAAAAACTTAAAATACATTACAAAAAAAAGAAACCTATCTTTAGCTGGCTGCATATAACTCGGTTCATAATTTCATATAAATATTAATCATGTACTTACTTTTCACTAGCATCAGTTAGACCAGAGACAGAATACTTTGCAAAAGTACGTGAAGTAATGCCAGGTGGCAAGAGGTGTTCATCTTCATATAAAAGTGAAACATCAAAATCTTTGTTGTGAGTGATTGATCGGAACATCTGTGAATGATTATGAAAAATTTAGTTAGGTAAGACTTCTTTTATTGATGATAGAAAAGATTAGGAGGAGTTTTGATGAAATGAATTTATTTATTTACCTTGATGGGTAACTTTTTTAAGCGTGGTACAAGTAATTGTGTGGTGGTTTCATCTTTTACAAGTTGAGGACCTTCTAAATCCATCATGAAACCATACATGGAACCATCAACCATACCAAGTTTACGGTTTAATTTGATTCCATCACTTATATTTGCAGCATGTAATGAAGCACCAAGAACTGTTGCCTCGTCAGCATCTAGATGTCTGTCCACGTCACTCTTTCCAATGAATTCTTGAAGCTTAGCCTGTAAAAGGGATACATAAATCAATATTGAAAAAGAAAGTAGAAAAAATCCAAAACCTTGCAACTGCATCCACAATGATTAGCCTTTTTAAAACCTTTTTCTTTTTGCCACATCGGCTTTCCACTAACTTTATTTAACTCATACCTATCTTTATAAATCTTCTCCAATGCAAAAAGCTCTTTTTAGCAATAAAACATACATCCTCTTCTATTTGAAATGTTTTACAAAACCCCCTTATCCAATTTGTCGTATTTTAAGCACACGTCATATTTGATATTGGTGTCATTTTGGTCGAATATGTAGTTATAAAAATAAAAGACAATATTATATGATCGTTATGTTATGTTCCTTGATGTTTGACATTGGTGTCATTTTGATTGTCTTGACATTCTTCTTGATGATATTTTTGCATGAAAGATATCATAATTTTATTTTGCATTCATAGTAAAATAGATTAATTAATCAGAAGATAATTATATATTGAGGGGGTAAATGGTAATATGTAAATGCTGTTGAGGGGAGGGGATGAAATGTCAAAAATATAAAAACAAAATATTTCTCATGGAAAAAGAAGTGGTTTTTTTAATACAAAAGGCTTGGCCCCCAATGTTGATAAACTTTTTTTGAAAAGCTTATGGTAATAGTAAAAATCCTCAACAAAAAAATAAAACTCCCATTGAGGTGCTCTAACAGAAGAAAGGCTAGGCAACTTAATAAAAACAAGATCAAGAACACTAATTAATTAACACTACCTCGTGAAGGGATTCGGAAATAATATAATATGAGTAATAGAAATTATAGTAATTAATGGGAAGATTTATAACCTTCAATTATCATGTGTGTAAAATAAAATAGAAAAAAAAACCTGCAACTTTGGTACTCGAGTGCCACCTCCAATCAACTCAAAGGCGTATATCTCATCAACCTTCAAACCAGAGTGTTTAAGCAATTCTTTGACAGGGATAATAGATCTTTCCCACAAATCTTCACACATCTCTTCGAATTTCTGACGAGTAATTGTGCTCCTGATAACAACAAAAGAACCAGGAATTTTGAATGATTAATTGCCAACAAGAAATACCTAAACTAAGGAACCAAGAACAGATTAATGGAGTGTACCTAAAATCACGGTCATCAAGAAGTGATTCAACTGAAAATGGTGCTGCAGAATTTGCACTAAGGATTTCTTTTGTACGTTTAACCTGCTTTTTCAGTTTAGCCATCGCCTTGGGAGACTTTCTGACATCAACTCCATTTCCAACCTGTTTGTTGAACTCATCTGCAAAGTGTTCCACCAACCGTAATTCCAAGTTTTGACCACCTAGTTCTGGATCCCATTTAACATCTTTCACCTGTATCACAATTCATACGTGTTATCAAGCAATATCATAATAATACTAATGTGACAAAAGTACTGAATCTTAACAAAGCACATAGCACAAATACATAGCTACTAGCCACAACAGCATTTAGACATCCATTCTCATCTGACGAGTGTTGGTTTAGCTAGTTGGGTCTCAATTCTGGTGCATCTGGCTTAATGAAACCTGGTATGTTTCAGCCTTTCAAATTAATACAGTACAACTTTTGACACTTTTATAGAACAAACTTGAATTACTTCTGTGGGGCATAAGGTTAAGGAGGGTGGTCAGGTGAAGAGATTTTATCGGTCTCTAATGTGTAACACTTGGTTATGATTTACTTATATATATGAGTCAAATGTTGCCATATCATATACCTAATAATCTGTAAATAAGAGTAGAATCCTGGTGTAATCTAATAAGTGAACTCAGAAATCCTGATGTAATCCCGAATAGCTTCTAATGTGCATTGGATTAAGTAAAATGACATAAAACGGCAAGTAAAAGATTGAGGTTTTCATAATTAATAAATGGTATATTTGGAAGAATTCTAAAAAAGCTATAAAGGGTACATTTGGAAATGTTTTAAAAAAGCTCAATAAGCTCGTTAAAACACTAGTCTGCGTAGCTTTTAAAAAAGCGCTTAAGCTACTTTTTGGTTTGACTAACATGACAACCTAAAAAAGCTCAAAAAATAAGCTAGTTATGGCACGCCAAACATAGCCTTAAGGAACTCTAATAAGTAGTGGGGACGGGGATGGAGGCAAGGCGAAGGGAGGCCAAACAAGAGGGGAAAATAGTTGTTGCTAAAGCGAGGCATATTGCTACAAGAGTTTGGATGAAAAGATGGGAGAAATGGAATCTACAAGTTAGCAAAATCAAGAGAGTTAGAGAGAGAGAAGGAAAAGGGACATAAGAAACATAAACCATATTAAGGATGACAGTGGTCAAGTTCTAGTAAAGGATTACGAGAGCAAGTGGAGATGGGAGTGGTTACTGTCACTCCTTATTTAATGGGCACGGGTCAAGTCTTAGCAATATTTTGTATCTTTTCCTTGTGTACGATATTTATCTTCTTTTCCATTCCCCTTTGAAATGTCAGCTCTATTGCTTGTATGTTGTATCAGAGGTCTTACTGTCTCTCCGTATCTTACCTATCATTACCCCATTCTTGTTAGGGTATTGGTGCAGAACTCTAGGAATATAAACAGAGCCCATGATGTCTAACTGTATTCATCCTATATTTACATTTCTACTTCTTGTGCAAATGTTCATGGTTATCTCTATCGTTTGCTGGTAACAGATAGGTTAAATATAATGCACGCCACCAGTGAATAGAAAGCATTAAGGTGTTTTAACACAACTAAGTTTTTCTCTTATCCAATTAAATATTTACAAAGAAAGCAACACATATATAGTATAAGCGATTATTGTAATAGAAAATGTCAGTACCTGAAATTGATTGACAGAAACAGTCTTGCCGTATTCCTTAGTGTTATAAGCCGAGAAGTAAACAAGAGCAGCATAAGTGCTGCTAGATCCCATATCATAGAAAATAACATGTCTCGACCCGTTGGAAAAATCTTTATCGATCCCATACTGAAGTGCAGCACCTGAATGCTCGTTAACGAGAGAAAGAGCATTCAATCCAGCCAACTGCGCCGCCTGAAGCAAACCCTTCCGCTCCGCCTGCCCAAAATACGGAGGCACTGTAATAACAGCATCCTTCACCGGCACCTTGCTATGGAACTCAGCCAATTTCAAAGCATAACCCAAAATCATAGCAGTCAATTCCTCCGCCGAATACACAGTAACGCCATCATCGATTTTGATCCCGGCGCCGCCTCTAGAATCTTCAACCACATTGAAAGGCAGATACAAGGAATCTAGAATCTTCTTGACATGAGAAAAGGGTTTTCCAATTAAATCACGTACATTAGAATAAACCTTATCAGGATACCGTGCAACAATCCCAGCTGCCTCCTCGCCAATGAGACGATCATTAGCGTGAAACGCCACTAGAGCTGGCGATTTCCGTTTAGACATTTCGTTTATGGCGATGGATATCGGAGCTTGACCCGGTTTTAGATTCACCACGGCAACTTTTATCCATTCAGAACCCAGATCAATACTAGACACAGCTGATCGCGATGGAACTGAATTTAACAACAGCAAAAACACCATTAAACCTAACCGAAACATTGTTTTGGACATTGTAGATCGGTTGATGGATCTACAGCCCTAGCTAAATCTCCTCCTTGGGGAAACTATACGAATGGCGAAGTGGGATTGAAATTGGGATTTGTGGAGACGTAAGTCGAAGGTTTTAAGCGTAGCAGTGAATTTAACAGAACCAGGAGGAGTGATCTATTTTCTGGGGGACGTGTGAGGTTGACTCTACGTGGTCATTGGTATGGCAAACCAATAGTAAGACGCCACGTAAGCCAAAGTGCCATGTGGTTGCTTATGATAACCCTGGTGCGTTGTTTTTGGCGTAATCGTGACTTTTGGGAGGTCGAGTTCGAGTAGGCCACTAGGGTTTAGCACAATATCAGACATTTTTCTAGACAATCACTAGTCTAAAATAACTAAATTTGGAAAGCGTCGATTGAGAAATAACCGAATTTTTAATTAATAATCATAAAATAATTATAATTTATTATTTTTTTAACAATATCTTGTTTTACAACATTATTATAAGGGATAATGACTTAAAAGGGTAACATATTATTCAATTTGTATATATTTGGTCACTGAGTTTTTTTTTCGTCCACATTTACCCCTTAAACTTGTTAAACTGTACACATTCAGTCCTTATGACCTGTTACTCCAGTTTAGCCGGGAAAAATGACTTGATAGGATAATATATTTTTCATTTTGTACACATTTAGTCCTTAATATTTTTGTACATATTTAGTCCTTAAATTTTTATTTTTTTTTCAAAATAAGTCCTTTTTTGTACTCATTCAGTACTTATGATTGATTTCTTTAGGTTTTTTTCACGACATCTTACGTGAGACAATCATTGATGAGGTGCTTGGGGTTGTTGATGCTTATGTCTAATGCGATCTCGACTGCTTGGTTGCGTAAGTCTTGTGGTTTGGCTTAGGTCTTGTATTTTGAAAATCGTAACTTCTTAATACGATATTAGATTTTAAGGATCTTTATCCACATTGTTCATTTTTTGAGTCTACTACAACTTTCATTAAGATTACCCCCGTTAAAATGTAATATATTTTTACTAACGATTTTATAAAAAAAAACATACATACATGCATTCATAAAAAACGTATGGACAGGGGAAGACGCAGTAATACATAGTAGGTGTTGCCGAGATGAAATAGGTGTTGCCGATACATGGAAAATCGGTATAAGCGTAAAAAATAAAGCGAAAATTTTTCCACTGCGAACAGAAAAAACAGGTGTTGTCGGTGCAACACCGGGACCATACTAAATCCGCCACCGGGTATGGATATAAAAATGGTAAGTAAAAATATATTATTTTTTAATGGGAGTAATCTAAATGAAAGTTGTAGTAGACTAAAATACGAACGCATGGATATAAAAATTGTTAAAATCCGAGATCATATGAAGAAGTTATGACGTTTATAACACATGACCTAATCAACCAAGTAGTCGAGATCACAATGGATATAAGCATCAAAAGCCTCATACACCTCATTAATGAATGTCCTACGTAAGATTTCGTGAGAAAAAACTAAAAAATCATTAATAAGTACTGAATGAGTATAAAAAAAATAACTTAATTTGCAAAAAAAAAGGACTAAATGTGTACAAAAATATTAAGGACTAAATGTGTACAAAGTGAGAAATATATTACCCTATTAAGTCATGTTTACCGGGTAACCTGGAGTAGCCGGTCATAAGGACTGAATGTATACAGTTTAACAAGTTGAAGGGGTAAATGTGGACGGAAAAAAAACTCCGTGACCAAATGTGTACAAATCGAAAAATATATTACCATTTTAAGTCATTATCCCTTATTATAAAGTTTTGTTTGCATTTGTTTTTACAGATACGCGGTTCATTTAGAATTGAACTTTTAGCAAATAACATGTTTTTAAAATGGAGATGAGTACTAAATAATATTATCTTAATATCTTAAACAACGTCTATCATTAGAGGATCTTTAAAACTTAATATTTTTATTTAATTTTTTTTCACAATTTAATAACATAACATTATTTTTTGACAAGTAATTCAACTCTATTTTTAGGCATGAGATTTCTTTTTTTAAGTTAGCACAAGAATCATATAACAAAATGACTTATAAGGTAATAATGTTTCAAAAACTTTCAAAAAAAGACCACTTAAGTTTTGCATGTTCAAATAATACCATTCAATTAAAGGTTTTGTAACAAAAACACCAAAAAAGTATAACATTTGCTCAAATGTTACCTATGGTAACCGGCATGTGTAGGTTACTTATTTTATTCTACATGTTAAAAAAATAAAAAGAAAAAAGAAAATGGCATGGAAAAGGAAGTGCTCTGTTCTCATGTTTTACAATTTTTTCACTTCATGAATATTTGAGCTACAAATGGTTGTAATACATCTTTTAATTGTTCTTCATGGTTAATATTTCACATAATTAGTATTTGAGCTCCTTCTCTTGCTTCTCTTTGGGTTTCCAATCACATTGATATGAATGTAATTTGATTCATTTGTCGAGTTGCGATGATTGATTGATTAATCTTGTTATCTTTTATCTTACTTTGATCATTTTACCCTTGTTTGGTTTTTTATGGTGTGGGGATGATTTGGTGACATATGCTTAATCGTTTCATCCATAGTTCATCAGTTTTATTTAAGACCTGCTGCTTTCAGAATTCACAGTTGTTGGTGGGAGATTTTTCTAATACTTTGACTATTTTACCCTTATTAGTTGCGCTTTTATGTATTGTTGTGGTTGTACTCTGTTTTCCAACTTGATGTTTAAGCATATTTTGTTGTTGTAGAGGCTTATTTACTCCATTTGTATCTTTTATGTTAATATAATCAACCACTTAGATTTTAGCAAATGTTTTGAGTCTTGGGTATATTGTGTTAATCACTTTGTAATTACAAGTGGATTTGGGTGCTGCATCTATACATGGGAAGGTTATTGGATTTAAAGAACGAATATACACATAAATGCCATCACATGACCTAAAGAAGAAGATGGTGCAGGACCTGAAGAAGAAGACGATGCAGGAGAAGAAACCCAAGAGAAGTCGTTCCTTATTATGAGCAAAAGCCCTAATTCGATTTAAAGAAAGAAATGCACACATAAATGTCATGTCATTCTCTCTTTCTCCCGTGTCATTAATCTTAGGCCAACTCAACAATTTTTTAATCCTACTCATCAATTAGCCCATAACAACCGGTTACCACTAGGTGAGATGTGAGCAAAAGGTATATTTCATTAGTGTTTTTTATACAAAGACTTTAGTTTGATGGTATTTTTAAGCATATAAAACTTTGATGGTTTTTTTAATGTTTTTGAAACATTCTTACCCTTACAAGTCATTTTCCCTTAAATAAAAGGCTAGAAGTAACATATTTGCCTTTCTCAAGGCTCTAGTGTTCAGCATTTAAAGAATTGATTTTTTTATGCAAGTAATTTTTATTTTGTTTTAGTTTCCTTTTAGAATATGAATCACATCAATATATCTTTGAGATATATTAGCAAGTGAAGGATTCTCACATTTCTTTTAACACTTTCATAATCACTATCACTATTATTCTCATAAATGACTAGAGGGGTTTAGCATATCTCATTGTCACTTTGATCCATAACACACACAATTGCATCTCCATCATCAATACATTCACATGCACCTTTGACATGTTTATTATGATCATCTAACTTTAACCTTCATGCATTCATTGATGTAATAACTTTAGGTCTGACTATAAGGGAGAATTTTATCTTGTAGTGTCATATGGCTTAGGTATGAACCCTACGAGTATAACTACAAGTTGCTCCAAATCTTGGATGTCAATATTTAAATTTAAGGTGTTGAAAAAATTATGTTATGTTATTAACAAAATTGAGTGTTAGACATAAATTTCAATGCATACAATATATTTGCCCAACACTTTTATATTTAAAGAAACTTTACTTTATGTTTTTTGTTCAAAATTTTAACTTAAAACTTGATTTATATTTTTTTATGCAAGTAATTTTTATTTTGTTTTAGTTTCCCTTTAGAATATTAATAACATTAATATATCTTTGAGATATATTAGCAAGTGAAGGATTCTCACATTTCTTCTAACATTTGCATAATCACTATAACTATCATTCTCATAAATGGCTAGAGAGGTTTAACACATCTCATTGTCGCTTTGATCCATAACACACACGATTGCATCTCCATCAGTAATACATTCACATGCACATTTGACAAGTTTATTATGATCATCTAACTATAACCATTATGCATTTATTGATGTAATAACTTTAGGTCTGACTATTGTCACACCCCAAAACCAGAATGGCAGAAACGTTCTGGGGTGGAGGACGTCATGTGTAGCATCACAACCAATGAATAACAGCAATCATAGCAACACAACCATTACATTAAATACTTAAATAAATATGTTTACATCAGTTTGGAACTTTATCTGAAACTTGGTTGAATTACATTCAATAGCTTGGTATAGTATAAACATAAACTCTTATTGCTCCCGTTCCTCAAAAATCCAGCAAATACCTGTCTACTGATTTCCTGAGAATACAAGCAGTTTGAAAATATCAGCATAAAGCTGGTGAGTTCATAAGCGGTAGTTTGTAATGAAAATCATTGATGAGATCGTAAAAGTGTTCTGTATAGTTCCAAGAAAATCCGATATTTTCTTTAGTGAAAATGTAGTGTTCTCAATTCTGTATAAAACCATGAATGTTTGTCACTGAAAACTGTAGTGATATGCGAAATTATCACTTCATGTGACTAGCTAATGCCAATCATGATGTAATAGTATTTCGTGCGTACAACCATTGTATATTCGTTTCTATTTGAAAACCCTGAAAGTTCTGCAGTTGTAGTGTGTATTAGTTCTATTTAGTGTAAATAAAACTGTTGAAGAGTGCCAAGTTTTAAACTAAAGGTGATTTATACATATTGTGAGTCGTATAACCATGCTTGATATGACTAGAGACCTTTCCAACGTTCTTCAGGCGTCGAGTTAAATGACATTTGTACATCTCAGGCGTGCCCGCCTAACTGTAGCTAGCAGTCCAGATGTGGGATTGTCAGTCCCGAATAGATCTATTCACAAATCTCACGCTCTCCCTCCAGGAGACTCTGGTTATACTATGGTAGGATTTATCCCTGTACACCTAA